GAACTACCAGCGGAGCAATGAGAGTTGAAAGAGTAAGGTCATATAAAGGCCCTGAATATTCGCAGAAAGAAGAAAACATGAGGTCTTTAGGAAGTTCTGGGTTAGGAAGGAGAAAGATAAAGTAACAGAAACTGAATAGTAGTTTAGCAGTTCTAGAGATTGTTCTCTGTCAGAAATAGCTAAGTGATTTTTGGTCTCTTAAATCTGTTTTCTCATTTATGAAATGAAAAGTTGAATAAGATGACTTCATTTTTAAAATTTCTTGTTTCTATTATTTTAATGTAAGAGATGAGAATTTCATGGAAGTAGTTGACGATTTCAGAAAGCATGAGATTTAGCAGTAGTCACTTAAAATAATCATGAGTTCAGTGGTAGAAAACTACAAAACATTCACCTTTCATGGTCTTTTGACTTTGGTGAAGAGCCAAAAATTGCATGGTACAGATCTAGTCAGTAAGGTGGATGAGTACATACTGTGATATATTTATTTGACAGAAATTACTGTAAATATTTTGAATTGATTCAGGATATTGAGGCAGCCATGAAAAGACATTCATGAAAGGATTTCCAGAACACCTTTCAAAAGTGGCTAGAAGGATGGAATATACGTCCTTGAAGCTAGAGGGACTATTTTGAGGGGGAATAATGGCAATGTATTTTTTATCGTAATAAATTTTTTTAGATTTAAGTATTCACCATAGTGTTTGATCACCATAAATCATGGCCTTTTACCCCTAATTACTTCAGTTTATATTTTCTAATAATAGACCCCAGTAGTTACCAATTTCAGTGATTTTTAACATTTATGTAATGTTTTATCTAATTAATCTACCATGTTTTCCTATTAACCCAATAATATCCTTTAGAGTGTTTTTTCCTCCTCCAGGAAAGTATCCAGCCTAGTATCTCATATTACATTTTATCTTCATGGCTCTTCAGTTGGAATATTTTCAAAGCCTTTGTTTTTTATGACATTGACATCTTTGAAGAATAAAGCCACCTCCCTTTTAAAAAAACCAAAGCAGAACATTTCTCATTTGGGATTGATCTGATATTGCCTCATTACATTCCTCATTTCCCTTTTTAGATTCTGTGTCTTTGGGGAACCATATATAAAGGCAAATAATGCTCATTTGTTCCTCATTTGCGATGTGATTACCTGTTCAGGGCTTTGTTCAATTTCTCTAATGTATAATTACTTCTTTCCTGTAACCAAGAAGTCTGTGGAAAAATTCTCTAAGATCATATAAATATCTTGTTCCCCATCTAAATTTCTTTATATTTAGATCCAATTACTATTCCTTCCTAACTCAATCTTTGCCTTAATGATTGCAAAATGATGATTTTCCACCTCCTAGGAACACAGACATGTACGACTATGCCTGGCATGATCTTTAATCCTGGTAAGTCAACTTTATTGGATTAAGAAATGCCTAGCAGATTAGGAAAGCACAGTCCTGGGAGCATGTGTGTGGGTCATGGAGGCTGGACCTTTGGTATGACATATGGTCCCTCACCCATTTCTCTCTGGCACTGTCACCTGCTCTGCTCCCAACTGCCATGAACTAAACAGCTGTGCTCCACCATGCCCTTAAACCATGATGTTCATGATGTTCCTATCTTGGAGCCAGGTAACTATGGACTGAATTCCTCCAAACTGTGAGCTAAATTAAACCTTTCCTCCTTTAAGTTGTAGGTGTTGGGTATTGTGTCTTGGTGACAGGAAAGTTGGCTAATACCATACAGTAACAAGGAAGGACAACAGAAAGATCCATTATGAACACCACGCAAAATGTATATGACTCATAGGACCATGGCAACACAGCAGGCTGTGTCAACTTATTGAATGGTGAAGAGCACTAAGTACATCGAAGCTCTAGAGGACAACTTGTTACACAGCTTTTGTTGTGAAGATGCTTCTGGGCCATGAGGATTAGGTTTAGCTATATTGTGTTTTTCTAGTTGAAGGTGGAGAAGTTGGTGTTATTTCAGGAAAAAGAATCAATAAAACTGGTTTAAAGTGTTTCTAGTGCTTGAAGATGAAAACCTGGTTATCTAGAATATCAAATTATACCCAACCCCACAATGATCCCTCTCTTTCCTAATCTTGTCAGAAAAGTAAAGCATAACTGAAACTGCCTTTAAAGTTAATACTGAAAATTATTCGTGCATTTAAACATTTGTTTGTACACTAACTGGCTTCCCTAATAGTTGTTCCAGGTAAATATTAATCATCGTTAAAATAAATCCCTATTGATCCACACCTAGCATAGAGTTGCTCCTGTAAGAAGCAGCTTAATTTTAAACATTTACGTAAACTGTAAAATTTATATGGTGCTCATGTTTGAGTGGACTGTTGATCATCTTTGTCCTTGGTATTTTAATACTTGTGGCATGTCTCTATTGGTTGGGAAGCATGGCAGTCTCTCTTTTACTTTGTGTTTGTTTTCTGGAAAATGTCTCTCTTTGAAATCCTCTTATGCATCCGTTTCCTCAAAGTGAAATTTGAGTATGTTGCTTTGCCTACATTTTAAATCAATGAAAACATAACTGACAAATTTCTTCAAAATGTCCATCTTATATGAGATTAAAGGATAGAGAAACAACAGGGGCATATATTGTTACTAAAATTCTGCTGGTTATAATAAAATTGTTACTGAAATAATCTTTCTTACAAGGCCAGTTTTTGTTTTGTCAGCTACAATGAGATGAATCGTTTGTGCTATCTTTTGCAGTGGTGGTCTCTTGTCTTTGAACAATTTGTTCTATATCTAAATTAGTTCCTTGGCTTACTCCCTAGAAATAATTTTGATGGATAGTAATATAACTGTTACATGATGGTGATTCCTCCGAAGGAACTGAATTCTTATTCCTCTGAAGCATATTGAATTCTTATTGATTTCTATTTTATATAATGGCATTTCTATTTTACACATTAGGACTTTTTGTTATACTAAGACTGCGTGTTTCTTGTCTTTTGGCAAAAACATGGAAGTCATAAAGCAACTTACACAATTTAACTATGATAAAAGTGCTCTGGTAAACAAAATCTGGTGCTGGTTCTCCCTGAGTGTAAAAATTCATTGTCTTAATTTACATATCAGTGGATGGAAAAAAAACACTTAACTTCGTAAAATAATTCAACAAAAACAACAAGAGATATTGAGAATGAACTTTTCTGTATTTTCATATACAAAATCTTACCAAATTCAGAAATCTGAACACAACACTTAAGTTAATAAAACTACAGTTTTACAGGTTATCAACATGAAAAACAGAATTTGGGTAATTATTTTGAACTCAGAAGTTCAGTAAGCATAAGAATTTAATATATCTATGGCCCAGCTCATGAGTCATTATGGCTTTTCTCTTCAAGTCCGAATGAAAATTTCACTGCTTTTACAGTAAACTGCAAAAATTATTGGCAGATGTAGAAACATAGGCTCATTTGTTTTTATGAAATCCTAATTTGAGTTTAAAGTAATTGTAAGACATTTAATACAAAGTAGAATTCCCTGTTGTTCCTTAGTTTTTCTATTTTTTAAGGGCAGTTAATTATTTGTGATAACTTGCAAAACTGTCGTATGTATTGTTGGCAGTCAACCATCTTTCCCTTAATCTCTTACTAACACGGAAAAAAAGAGTAAACATTTGTTCAACTAGATAGGTGGAAGGAGTTTTTTCTCCTAGTGCTAATTCAGTTTGCCTGTTGTTTCTTTGGGACTTGAAACAAATAACATCCATGGGAAAATTTCCTGTACAGATAATGCATTTCTACTCCTTTTACCATTAGTCTGATTTCCTTTTTTTCATATCATTTGAAAAAAAATGGGAAGGGGAAAGTTTTTGGTTTCTCTGCTTGTCCCAGTGATTTCACCATGATTTGATATTTTCTTTGAAAGTGAAATGGAATAAAAATCAATCACTATGAACTTTGTTTCCTGTTTGTTTGTTCTTAACTTACCTTTGGGTATGTGCACTTTAAAAAAGTAACCCTCCCTATTTCAGAGAAGGGGATTGGAGAGCATTTGCTGATACTGTACTCAGTGGAGAAAATAATTAGCATTCTTCAACGTACAAGATTATAAGCAGTTCAGTATAGTGGGTATTAAAAGGAGGAAAAATCAAATGAGAACAGTCAATTCAGGTCCTACCAAGTTTATACTCGATGCTGGTACAGTATCCCTTCCACATTTTACTGCGCATTGCCCTTCAAGGGCTACAGATCATCAAACAATCATCCAAACCTTCCACCCACAGTCACACTGCATCCAGTGGTGCTAATTTTAAGTAGGCCACCCGTGAGGAGGTGCACCCTCTGCAACAATACCCTTCCAACATTTATAACAAACCCATTCTTTTTTCGTCCAGAGGAAACATTTAATATTTTAGAGCCATGATCGTGCAAAGACATGAAAATACTATTCACCTGGAACTCATCAATTTCGCTCATTCAGCCGAGGGTAATAGCCCGCACAACACCTATAAAGGTCTACTTTAACACTCCCTAGTCTTAATGAGAGGACCGATCACCATAATTTATGATCCCACGGCAGGGGGTGACTCTTCACATTTGCGGCCCCCTCATTTGTCCGCTGTGACTTCTAAAAACACCGCCAGCGTGGGCTGGATATTTGATCTTAGGGCCAAGTGTTTCCAGACTTTGTCCTCGGGCCTTAAAGGTGAGGTGCCAGGCGCCGAGGCCGAACACCCCCGCGCCGGGTGCGGGCGGGGTGGAGGCCGCCCCACCTGTCCGCGCGCCAACCCCTCGCTCTCCGGGGTTCGGACCGGCCGCCTTCCCCTGCGGCAGGGGCTGGGCGCCGCGCGCGCGGCGTACACCGGTCCCCGGCGGCCGTTGGGCTCCAGGGGGCCGCAGCGCGGCGAGCGGGAAGCGCGTGGGGCAGACCCCGCCGGCCGCAGCCCTCCGGGGCTCCCGCGAGCGCGCTCCGTTGGTGCGCGCGCACGCCCCGTTCCGCCCCACCCGCCCGCGCGGCGCGCGCCCCCGCCAGGTCCGCTCTCCTCCTCCACCCCCGGCGCGGACGGGGTGGATCCGGCACAGTCCCCTCCCCCGAGCGCAGGCGGCGGGCGCTGAATGAGAGACCCAGGCGACTCGGGCGGGCGTGTGCTACCCCTGGCGGCTGCGGCAGCGGCGGAGCGTGAGGCCGGCGTCCCCCTTCCATCCTCCGAGGCGACCGCCGCGGCTGCCAGGTCGGCGCTGCGGCCGCGGGGCGAGGCGGGGCGGGGCGGGGCGGGGGCGGGAAGG